AGTGGGGTATATCTGTTTTAAAGCCCCTCTCTCTCCCTATGGCCAGGGTCCACCCTGAGACCCCAGTGGATGTCCACAACTCAGCCTCATAGACACTGGGTATAGGTACTGTTTTATTTCTTTTTCTCCTCTACATGATAAAGTTTAACTTATAAATTAGGCCTGAGAAGAGATGAGTAACAACTAATAATACAGAACAAAGAGAGCAACGCACGCTAATAGAAGCTACGTAAAACAGTTTATTTCTGCCACTTTCCATTTCCTATTTGGGGAGTAATGTGGACCACAGATGCCTCAAACCACAGAATGGGAGGCACGAGTAACAGGGACTCCCGGATCTGCTTGCGCACGGGCCCCCCACACCCCGCCCACTGAGGCAGTGCATCAGGGGCAGGCCTCGTCCAGACCTCAGCCCACCTCCTCCGGGACCACATCATCTACCCATCACACCTGGAGGTGAGCTTCCCCAGCCCCCAGCAGGTCACACTGGGTCAGAAGCTCCAAGTCCCTGCTGCAGGCTAGATAAAAGACACCCATGAACCAGGCGCTGAGGCTCACACCTATAATCCTAGCTACTCAAGAGGCTGAGATCTGAGGACTGTGGTTCAAGGTCAGCCCAGGCAGACAAATCCATGCAACTCTTATCTCCAATTAACCACCAAAAAGCTGGGAATCGAGCTTTGGCTCAAGTAATAAAGAACTGGCCTTGGGGGAAAAGAAAAGGCTCAGTGCATAGGCCCTGAGTTCAAACCCCAGTAGTAGCAGCAAAACAACAACAAAACAACAAGCGACACCCATGACCCAGTGCCAGGGCCTGGAGTCTCATCCCCTGGGGATGCGGTAGGGTGCTCCCTTGTCTGTCCTTTGGGAGGACTGCCAGGGAGGAGCAGCGATGCCTGGGGGATTGCTTCAGCCTTCCGGAGAACTCTAGAAACCTAGCACACCTGGCGGGCCCTGCATGAGCCAGGCCACGCTGCAAACCTCAGACTGAGGCGGGTTAATTATCAGGGAGGTAGAGTGCCCATGACAACAGCAGTTTCTGGGCCTGCAGAACGTTCCAGATCCTGCAGACCTAGAAAGTGTAGCTTCACCCACCAGCATTGCCTGGATTACAGGTCCTAGTTAACAGGAACCTCGTGTGTGTGTGTGTGTGTGTGTGTGTGTGTGTGTGTGTGTACACGCATGTGCACGTGCACAGGTGTGCACACCAGGGCTTGAATGCAGGGGTTTGCACTCTTGCTTGTTTTTTTGGTTTTGTTTTGTTTTTTCCTCGAAGCTAGCACTCAACCATTTAAGGAACATTTACACTTCTGAATTTTTGGTTAAATTGAAGAATCTCAAGGAGTTTTCTGCCTGGCTGATTTTCAAACCCCGATCCTCAGACCTCAGCCTCCTGAATAGCTGTGTGATTACCGGTGTGAGCCACCAGTGCTTGGCTTAACACAAAACCTCATCATTTGCTGCTAATCTGATGGAGTTTACGGTCCACAGCAGGCGCCTTCCAGCCCTGGGAACACACACAGACTTCCAGAAAGCCCCAAGGCCCAGCCCGGCCAGAGCCTGCCCATCCTGAACCTTCCCACCCTCCTCTTAGCTTGGCGACTCTCTCCTGTCCTGGCTTTGGAGTATGGTGCTGCCAGCCCCAGGAGCAGGAGCCTCTCTGAGCGCTCTGCTCCTACGTCTGCCAAAGGCTGAGGTGTCAGGCCAGCAGGCGGCTCCTATACCCGCCAGCTGGCCCTTGGGTGCTTGCTTCCTCTAGGAGACTTTGGCCCTTAATTTCCTCATCTGTAAAATGGGAGTTAGATCTCCAGGCCTGAGTTATTGTGGGTGTTGTGCTTTCGTGTAAACATACTTAGTCACCTGGCCTGGGGGGTTTTGATGCCAGGCCCGGGTGGCAGCCAAGCTCACGCTCATAGCTGGCCCCCACTCAGGTCCAGCCACAAGGCCACCAGCGGCACCCCATTTTCCATCAGCAAATACCTCCTCCTGCCCTGTGGACTTTTACCACCTGACCCGTGGGCACACTTCCAGATCAGAGGCCACGGCCCCAGTGATGATACCGGGACACACAAACTTCAGATCAGCAGAGGGTAAGCCAGTGACCCTTGGAGGCCGTGGACAGTTCCTGGAAAAGGCTTACCTCAGCTACAAGGTAAACAGCCAGATAGCCAGGCCTGGACCCCAGACCCATGGGGAGACAAGGAGAGACAGTCGGTCTCATTCTCTTCCCTCCCTACCTCCCTCCTCCCTTCTCCTCCCTCCCTTCCTCCTTTCCTTCCCCCTTCCCTGCTTCCCTCCCTCCCCCTCTCAGCCTTCCTTCCAGCCAGTGTTAGGGCTTGAACTCTGGGCCTGAGTGCTGTCCCTTAGCTTTTTCACTCAAGGCTGCCACTTGAGTCACAGCTCCACTCCTGGCTTTTTGCTGGTTAATCAGAGATATGATTCTGATGGACTTTCCTACCTGCGCTGAACCATGATCCTCAGATCTCAGCCTCCCGAAGTAGCTAGGGTTACATCATGAGCCACCAGTGCTTTCTAAACATGGGTGACTGGTCACACCCACCTGCAGCATCCAGGGTCTCCTCCGGTGCCTGCTGACTACAGGTGGCCTTCTCCAGGTGTTCCCGCCCCCTCCTCCAAATGTCCCAGCTTCTTGACCGTCTTGGCATCTGTGGCTGGGTACGCGGGTGCATGCATTCAGCAATGGCTCAGATTCTCCTGGTACAGCTGGGGCCTTCCTTCCGTGACTTCACTCTTTTCAGTAATGTGAGCACGTTAATAGTTACCTCTTAGAGTTTCTTCAAGCTGGAAAATGTGGAAAGGGGCCCAAGAAAGCATGAAAGTTGTGACCTAAGATACAAGTGCCCCCAAAGCTTCTAGTAGTTACTAAGATGTCAAAGAGGGACTCAACCATTTTGTGTGAAGCCAGTGCCGGGGCTTAAACTCGGTGCTCTCCCTTCTTCCCCCCCCCCCCCTAACCCCCTCCTTCTTTTCCTTCCTCCCTCTGTTTCTCATCTTGTCATCTTGTCTTGAGCCACACTTCTGCATCCAGCGTTTTGCTGGTTGAGATGAGAGTTTCTGGGATTTGTGTATTGGGTCTGGAATTTCACTCTGCAACCTCAGCCTTCTGAGATTACAGTCATGAGCCACCAGAGCCTGACTTTGGTTTGGGTTGTTGTTTTGTTTGCTTGTTGGCAGCAGTAGCACTTGAATCCAGTGCCTTACACTTGTTTGGCGAGTTCTCTACCGCTTGAACCATACTCTCAGTCCTCCAGAAAGGTTTCTGAGAGCACCGACTTGTCCCCAGAACTATAGAGCTGTACTTGGGACCTGCATGGGCGGTGTCTCTGATCCATCATGCCCTTTGCTCTGCTTCTCTCCTGCTGGGTGTGTGAACAGGCCATTCACCTCTCCTCTGAAAGTGGTTTTTCCAAGTGCCCACCCACTGTCCCCTGGGGTGGCCAACACAAAGTCATTTGTGACACCACAAGAGAAAAGTCCTGAGTCTCCCTCGGGCCTAGACGATGCTTATGAAAGCTTTGTCCAAAAGTGGCACTTGGTGAAAGATACAATCTCCTCTTCCTAAAACCGCGGGAGCCCAGAGAATCCCAAGGATCACCCCTTCCCTGTTGGCTGACCCCTGTGCACCCTTGTTCCTAATTTTTAAAATAATCCCTCAAATCTATGTAATTGCCCGGCTGTATCTGGGGTTATGGCAGATCAGTGCACTCAGACGCTGGACCCTTGAAGCCTAGGACCAGGGGAACGGTCTGGATAGCCGAGGGGAATGTGGCCCCTCTGGGCAGGTCCTGGCCAGCACCCTTCCCTGGCTTCTCTACGACATCTACTACTGGCCTGATAAATAAATGCTGCTGCCGCCCGACCCCGGAAAGATAGAGCCGGGACCCAAGCGCGGGGGCTGCTCTGCAAACTCGGAAACACAGCACAACTGTCAGCCAGCGCAAGCCACAAACGCGGGGCTTATCACTGGGCAAGTGGACGGGAGCCGGGCGGGCGGAGGAGGCTGCGGCGGGGCCGGGCCGGGTCTCCGGGCACACCCCGGGAAGCGTGCCCGCAGCCCTCCAGGAGGAGCTCCTCCGGGCGCTGGCGCCTCCAATAGCGCGGAGGCGGGCTGGCGTGGGGACGGAGGGGGCGCTGGCACCGCTCGCGTCCCCTTCCCCAAGGAGGGGCGTCCCGAGGCGCGGGCCCCGGGGGCCGAGCGCCGGCGCGCGGGGAGCTCCGGCCGGGAGCCAGCCCGGCGCCCGCCCCGGGCTGGGGGGGCGGGGGCCCGACCTCCCCCGGCCCCGAGGCCGCCCTCGGCGCCCCGGAGCGCGCAGAGGGGCGCAGCCGGGGGCGGGGCCGGGGCGGGGGTGGGAGCCGGCGGCGCCGCCCGCGCCCGTCCCGGGTGCCCTTCAGCCTCCTCGGTCCCCGCCACCTGTCGGCGCGCGCGCGCGGCTCGCTCTCCCTCTCCCCAGTTCACGTCCCGGGGCTCCGGAAACAGGTCTGCGCCCCGCGCCCCGCGCCCCGCGCCCCGCGCGGTCCGGACGGCTCTCCGAGGCTCGGGCTCCGGCGGGAACCGCCCCGCGCCCCGCGCCCCGCGCCAGCCTCGGCCTCGAACTCCAGACTCTGCGGGTGAGCGCACGGAGAGAGGCGTCGAGGCCCACCGCAGGCCGCTCCCGGTGACCACCTTCCAGCCTCAGTTTCCCCCCGTCGGTGCGGAGGTCCCGGGATGCCAAGGAATGCCCCCGGGCCGCCTCGGCCCCGCCCCGGCCCCGCGGCAGCCAATCGGGGGCCGCCGTCCGGGGGGTGTGTCCCGGCCGGGGCCGCGCAGGGCCGAGGGCGGGGCTTCCGGGGCGGCCGCCGCGCCGCGGGCGGGGCGGGGCCGGGGCGGGGCGTGTCGCGGGGGCGCGGCCGGCGCGGGCGCGCGGGGGGCGGCGCGGGGCCGGGGCCGGGCCGAGGCCGGGGCCGGCGGGCGGCGGGGCGGCGGGCTGGAGGCGGCCGCTAGCGCCCCGCCCGGCGCCGCCTCCCTCGGCGCGCGCGCCCTGCGTCCGGGCAGGCGGAGGACCGCGGCCCAGGTGCCCGGGGGCGGGCGGGCGCGCGGGGGTCGGGCGGCCCCGGCCCCGGGACGGCGCACGCGCGCGGCCGGGGGCGCGGGGCGCGGGCGCACGCCGAGGGCTCGTGCGGGGCCCCAGGCCCCGGCGCGGTCCGGGGCTCGGCCGCCCGCGGCGTCGGGGGTCGGCGCGCGCGCTCGCGTCTGCGGCTGTCGGCGGGCCGTGGCCGCGCCGGTCCCTCGGCCGCGCTGCCGGAGGGGCCGCGGCGTCGGTGCGGAGCGTCCCGGCGGGTCCGGGTCCGGCCGCGGTGCCCGCGGGAGCCCCCGGCGGGTGGCGACTCCCCGGGCCCAGCCCGACCCTCTCCCGGCCCGGCGCGAGCTGTGCCGGCGACGCGGACCCGGACGGGGCGAGGTCCGGAGGGTTGGCTGAGCCCCACTCCCACCCCCCAGGAGCCAGGGGCAACTGCCAGCCGTCCTGCCCCTTCTTCCTCCCTCCCTCCCTCGCTTCCTCCCTCCCTCCCTCCTTCCCTCCTTCCTTCCCTCCCTCCCTTTCCTTCTCTCCTTTCCTTTCCTCCTTCCCTCCCTCCCTCCCTCCCTCCCTCCCTCCCTTCCTCCCTCCTTCCTTCCTCCCTCCCTTCCTCCTTCCCTCCTTCCCTCCCTCCCTCCCTCCCTCCCTCCTTCCTTCCTTCCTTCCTTCCTTCCCTTCTTCCTCCCTTCCTCCCTCCCTCCCTCCCTCCCTTCCTCCCTCCCTTCCTCCCTCCCTTCCTTCCTTCCTTCCTTCCTTCCTTCCTTCCTTCCTTCCTTCCTTCCTTCCTTCCTTCCTCCCTCCCTTCCCTCCCTCCTTCCTTCCTTCCTTCTTCCTTCCCTTCTTCCTCCCTTCCTTCCTCCCTCCCTTCCTTCCTCCCTCCCTTCCTTCCTCCCTCCCTTCCTTCCTTCCCTCCCTCCCTCCTTCCTTCCCTCCTTCCCTCCCTCCTTTCCTTCCCTCCCTCCCTTTCCTTCTCTCCTTTCCTTTCCTCCTTCCCTCTTTCCCTCCCTCCTTCCCTCCTTCCTTCCTCCCTTCCTACTTCCTTCCTTCCCTCCCTCCCTCCCTCCCTCCTTCCTTCCTTCTTCCTTCCCTCCTTTCCTTCCCTCCCTCCCTTTCTGTCCTTTCCTTCTCTCCTTTCCTTTCCTCCTTCCCTCCCTCCCTCCCTCCCTTCCTTCCTTCCTTTCCTCCCTCCCCTTCCTCCCTTCCTCCCTCCTTTCCTTCCTTCCTTCCTTTCCTTCCCTCCCTCCCTCCCTTCCTCCCTCCCTCCCTCCCTCCCTTCCTTCCTTCCTTCCTTCCTTCCCTCCTTCCCTCCTTCCCTCCTTCCCTCCCTCCTTCCCTTTCCTCCTTTTCTCATTCCCTCCATTCCTCTCTTCCTTCTTTCCCCCTTCCCTCCCTCCCTTCCTTCCCCCTTCCCTTCCCTCCCCTCCCCTTCCCTTCCTTCCCTCCCTCCCTTCCTTCCTTCTTTCCTTCCTTCCTTCCTTCCTTCCCTCCCTCCCTTCCTTCCTTCTTTCCTTCCTCCCTCCCTCCCTCCCTCCCTCCCTCCCTCCCTCTCTCTCCCTCTCCCTCTCCTCCCTCTCCCTCTCTTTCTCCCTCTCCTCCTTCTCCCTCTCTCTCTCTTGCTTTTTTTTGAGGAGAACTCCAACACCAAGAGTATTTCCGTTTGTATGGCTCTCCCCACCCCCTCTTTACCCCCTCCCCCCACGCCCTCCCCCCGCCCCCCCCCCAAGGAAAGCAGACAGGCCCTTCCCCTCCTGGGCTTGCTGGGGCGCTGGGTCCAGAGGAGGGATGCAGTTCACAAGCTTGTGACCCGACACTGTCACAGGCGGCAGGGTCACGGTGTCTTTTCCAAGGTGGCGGGGGCGGGGGGGGGGGCACCCAGAGGGCACACCATAATCATTTTCTTCTTTGCCTTCCTACTGCCAAGGCTGAAGCCAAAGGCCCTGCCTGCCCTTCGGTGAGTGACAAGACGCCCTCAGAACCAAGACCGTGTGGCCACAGGTAAATAGGTGTGATTTTCGTGTCCTGGGCTGGAACCTGTTCCAGGCTGCAGACCGGCAGCTGTGGGGTCAGAGATTCCTGTGTGCTGTCATGCTCGGTTCTGGGTGCTTGGAAAGGGAGGTAAATGTGGATGGACTCACCGTTCAGTTCCGGGAAGCTGGGTCCGTTTTCCTGGGAACTCTCGCTCTGACCCGGCAGGCTGGACTTATGCTTCATAACTTTAGAAATGTTACTTAGCATACACATGACAGTGGCCAGCAAAGAGCAGTAGCTGTCTCCATTTTGATCTGGTCACAGCGGTAGCTGCCGATGTAGTGGCTGAGTTCCCACACTGCACCAGCAAGGGCAAGGGTGGCCCAAGAAACATCCCTCCGTGGGCCTGAGTCCTGTAGCGCTCTGAAGGGAAAGTGCACTCATTAACAGTAGAAAGGTTTTCTCTTCCTTTTCCTGCATCTTTAAATATATGAAACGTGTCCTCATAAAATAGTTCTTTTTAACTAGCTTATGTTTCTCGGCCCGGTATCACAGAGGTTTGTTTTTTTTAAGTTGCATGTGTATGCAACAGAAAGAAAAATGTTCCTTTTAGACTTTTTTGTAATGTGCTCTATTATGATTCACCAAAAGCTTTCCATATAAATAAAATGTATTTCTGTCTTATCACTTAAAATGTGTGTATAATATTCCATTGTGTTTAAGTACAGTAATCATTAAGTCAACACACAGGTATATCATTCATTCTGTACATATTTATTGAGTAATTGCCAGGGGCTATTGTGCCCAGTCATGAGCAAGATTACCATCTATCTGCTCTTGAAGCCCATTTCCATTCCAGACTATAAAAGAGTCACTTCATTATGGCTCCTGTTATGGCAGAAGATTGAGGAGGTGGGTAGGAAGTGATGTGTCTCAGAACACCCCGCCTTTCGTGATTGGAGACCTGGCTCCGTTTTCACCTGCTGCTGTGAGCTCCCGCGTCTTTATACTACGCATTCTTAGTATTTTCTAAAAACATTGATTAAGAGATCTGTGCTTATTGTAAGCACATGCCAGATTGTCTTCCCTGCTTTCGCTGTGGCAGTCTGTGTGGGAATGGATTTGTTCTTGGCAACAGGTGGGATCTTGGAAGTAGCCAAGCGGCAGCATTTGGTTTTATGTTCATCTATTTATCTAAATTCTGTGAGATGTTGCAGGGACATTTTGGGGGAGGCAGGGAGGGTCTCTGTTACTGTTGTTGATGGTGGTGTGTGGGTGTGGATGTAGGTGCGCGCACGCGCACGCGCGCGCGCACACACACACACACACACACACACACACACACATGCTAGTACAGGAGCTTGAACTCGTGGCCTTGCATTCTCGCTTGGCTTTTTCCCTCAAGGCTGGCACCCTACCACTTGAGCCACACCTCCACTTTGGCTTTTCACTGACTAATTGGAGAGAAGAGTTTCACAGGCTTTTCCCAGGTTGACTTCAAACCTCAGTCCTCAGCTCTCAGCCTCCCGAGTAGCTAAGAGTACCTGGCTTGCTGAGTGTCTCACAGCAGCGCTATGATGTTAGTGTCTTGGAAGAATCTGCACTTCACCCAGTGAAGGCCTTACATCCTCCTGGGCCAGCCCTGCATGGTAGCTTTGTAGTTGATCTGAACTGCTTTTGAGGCCGTGTATGAGGAAGGAAAGAATATTCGAAAATCTTGCTTTGCATTATCACACTATGTTATCTATTGATGAGGAGATTTGGGTTCTGTTCCTTCACTGCTGCCCGGCTTATGGGATGGGAAGCCTCTGTCTACTTCCCTAAGGAAATGTGGGGCCACCCCAGGCCACCTGGCAGGGATTGTGATGCTTTGAAGCAGGGGCTCAAAGCACGGCACCCACCCCAGGAGGCTGGGAGAGGGAGGCCGCCCACAGCGCCTGCGTTTCTCACCTGGCAGAGGCCGACACCTGAGCTGTTCTTGCTCTTATCGTCTCTGACCCTTCCAAGGCTTTCAGCAAGAAATCCCCCCTCTCTCCTTACACATTTTGGTGTGTAATCTTCTTGAATAGGCAAAGAAGTATTCTCTGCCAGCAAGAACAAGATTGTTGCCACTGGTTCCTGTCCAGTTTGGATGTAAACGTGGTCCCAGGCTTTGGGGACAGTGTCCTGCCCTGTGCTTATTACTCCAGTGTGTCCAGACCAGGCCACGGCCTGTCCCTCATCTGGGGCCTGTGCTCTCCCGTACTCGGGGCTGAGGCGCTGCCTAGGTCCATGAGTCTCATTTCCCCGCTGAGTCTGACCAGAGTGTAGAGTGTGTGATTGCTGTTGCCAGGCTAGTCCGGAATACACCTCGGTCTCACAGATGCTCTTGGAATATGTGAACAATTAGCAGAGAGAGAGTGTATGTATGTGTGTGTGTGTATGTGTGTGTGTGTGTGTTGTAGTAGAGCTTGAAATCTGGTCTTCATGCTCTCACTTGGCTTTTTCACTGAAGGCTGGCACTCTACCACTTGAGACACACCTCCACCACTTCTGGATTTTTGCTGGTTAATTAGAGATACCAGTCCCATGGACTTTTCTGCCCAGGCTGGCTTCAAACCTTGATCCTCAGATCTCAGCTTCCTGAGTAGCTAAGATTACAGACATGAGCCCCCAGTGCCTGCCTAAACAGATTGTTAATAAGATGGCTTGAAGATCCATTGTCAGGTAAATGCTACTTCCTCTTGTAAGACGATGGACTCAAATGCCACACACTGACTTAGTGGAAGGATTTTCATGAGATTAAGGGGTGAGGGTGCTGATGGAGCCTGGCTCAGTGTCCCAGGAGGGAGCGCACTGGGACTGATCTTATTTCACTCTGTTTGAAGAGAGTTGCACATGAAAGAGGAGAGCATGGTTCTAATCCTGTTCACTGGCCTGGCACTCTTAGCCCAGGCCAGGGGCAGGCCTGGGGAGGCCTTGGGAGGCACACCGCACAAGGCCTCAGAGGCAGGAGCACAACCTGTCTGCCTTGTCGTCTCAAAGGTTCCGAGGTTTGTCAGGGAGAACTGGGGATTAGGGCCGGGTCAAGAGCCCCACCCCCCACCAACCCACCGCCATGCTCTGAGCCGCTTGTAACTGCACAGGTCTGTGGTTCTGTGATAACCACCCTGAGGTGACAAATCACCAGGCAACAGGAAGACAGCCCAGTACTGAGCTGGAGGTTGGCACGTGCCTCCGTGCTCCTGCCTGAAACTGCCGGCTCTACCTGCGTATTTACTGTGAGGCAAACGGCTTGTGCTCAGTCGAGTTGCACAATCCAAGGACTAGCAAATCCTGGGGTTCTGTCCCCCATCCACACCCCTGTGTAGAAGAAGTGACACCTTAGAGGTGTCTTCCTTTTTTTGGACAGAATGACATTTCTTAGGCAATAATAGTACAACATCCCTAGCATCATACTGAACATTTGATAGCTTCTAGACTCCAGTCTCATTTTCTCTATTATATGAGATGGCTTGCTGAGTTAGTGTCTTGGAAGTGGCACTGTGGCTCAAGTGGAAGAGCGCTCTCCTTGAGCTGAAGAGCTGAGGGACAGTGCCCAGGCCCAGAGTTCAAGCCCTACGACCAACAACAACAACAGAAAAGAAACTGAAGCTGAGTTAGTGTCTTTTCTTTGCTCTGTGTGTGTGTGTGTGTGTGTGTGTGTGTGTGTGTGTGTGTGAGAGAGAGAGAGAGAGAGAGAGAGAGAGAGAGAGAATACTGCAGCTTGTACTCAGGGCCTGGGTGCTGTTCTTTAGTTATTTTGCTCAAGGTAGCATTCTACTACTTGAGCCACAGTTCCACTTCCAGCTTTTTGCTGGTTAATTGGAGATAAAGAGTCTCACCGGCTGCCGGGGGCTGGCTTCAAACCTCAATCCTTAGCTCCCATCGTTCTGAGTAGCAAGGATTACAGGTGTGGGCCACAGGTACCTAGTTAGGCTAGTGTCTTATTTCTGTACTCATCTTCTGGCTTGCTATTTCTGTTTTTCTATCTGTGCATTGGGGATAGGATTCACACAGATAATGCTTAAAAGTCATGCAGGGAAGTTTGACATGTGGTTCAAATGGGGCCTTCTCTGGGCGTGTAAAGTTGCTTACGATAGAACCACTGGGCAGCAGCTTTGTGCACGCATCCTTGGACACATAACAATGTGTGAGGAGCGTGTTTTGTTCAAGTGCAAGGACTGCCTTTTCCCACTCTGGAAAAAAATATTCAGAATCTGTCACTAAATACCGCCCAGCTTACCTCCTGCCTCACAAATTCACTGGCCAAAGCGTTTTCTAGAAAGAAACCATCACATTGCTGTCATCTTCAAATCACAATAAGCCTAATCTGCTAAACTCTGTCCTGAAAGAAGCAAGTTATTTGTCCTAAATAGGTTAGCTCGGCTGGGCACCAGGTTCTCATACCTGTAATCCTTGCTACTTAGGAGACTGAGATCTAAGGATTGTGGTTCAAAGCCAGCTCAGGCAGAATAGTTTGAAAGACTCTTAACTCCAATGAACCACCAAAAGCCTTAAGTGGAGCTGAGGCTCAAGTGGAAGAGCAACAACCTTGAGGGAAAAAGCTAAGGGACAGCTCCAATGGCCAGTCCCAGTACCTGCATGCAAACATATGCGTGCATGCACATGCGTGCACGCACGCACGCACACACAGGGCTCAGCAGTGGTGTGGAGCAGAGGTGGGCAATGCCCGTGGGAAGCAAGCCAACATGATGGAGTTGAGAGACCTCGCGTGAAAGGCTGCAGGAGGATGTGGGGCGGAGGGGTGGAGAGCCACAAAGTGTGCCATGGGCTGGCGTGTGAGGTCAGGAGCCGAGTCGGAGTCCCCAAGCAAGGGACACCGAGGGTGACGGGAAGCTCCCCAGACAGGCAACAGCAGTTCCTCCAAAGTGCCAGGGCTGTAGGTGGAGAGAAAAGCAATGCTCATGGCGTGTGTGTGTGTGTGCGCGCGCGCGTGCATGCTGACACTGCCAGGGCTGTAGGTGGAGAGAAAAGCAATGCTCATG